CGCCCGCCTCAGCCTCCCAGAGTGCTAGGATTACAGGCGTGAGCCACCGCGCCTGGCCCTCCACTCACTCTTGACAGGCAATCGGATTGCTCCCGGTTTTTGGCTATCCCCAGTAAAACCACTGCAAATATTCCTGTATAAGTCCTCTGTGGAAGAATGTTTTATTTCTCTTGGGTAGTTTTTTAGGATAGGAATAGTTACGTGTGAGTGTGTGCGTAACTCTGCACGGAGCTGCCCAGGGGTCCCTCAGGGACCTGCCACCTGACTCCCACCAGAGCTTTACGAGCTCCCGTTGTTCCACTTCCTCCCCGACACTGGGAACGGCAGCTCTTTAAATTCTAGTTATTTTAATGGGTGCGCAGTGACATCTCATTGTGGATTTAATTTTCACATCTCAGAGGAGCGATGATGCTGAACACTTTTTCCTGTGCTTATTTCTGTCTTGAAGTAAGCGTCCAAATCTTTCGCCCATTTTTAAAAGTGGGTTGGTTGTCTTCTATTTTCTTACTTGTAAAAGATCTTTACACATCTCCCTCTTCAATATATATTTTTTAAATGTTGTTTTCTCAGTCTTTGGTCTGCCGTGCGGTTTCCTCAGTGGTGTCTGTTAAGGTTCTAGAGGTGTTATTTTAAAAACCCCCCTCCATGGTCCTCCTAGTGCTGGGGCTCTCGCTCCATACATGGCAGGTTACGTGACTGTTTTTCTGCACGTCACTCAGGTGTGTTCGTTTTTTCCCCCAGTGTGCTTCTCTTTGGATATTTTCGGTTGCTGTGTCTTCGAGTTCACTTTTTTTTTAAAATCTGCTATTCATACCATCAAATAAATTTTTCATTTCAAGTATGGTGTTTTCAACTCTCCCATTTGGTTGTTTTCCACACCTTTCGTTTCTGTCTGTGTTATGTCTATGCCGTTCTTTAAATCTCTGGCACATTTAAATTAGGCATTTTAAATCCTCGTGTGACAATTGTATCGTCTGTCATTTCTGGGCCTTTTTGAACTGATTCTCCTCTCAGTTACGGGTTATGTTTTCCTGTTTCTACTCATTTCTGGTTAAATATGATGGTGCTGGACCCAGTACGGCGCACACTGAAAATCACCGAGTGCCTAGATTTCGTCTCCTTTAAAAGCATTGGCACTTGCAGATCAGCTTGAGCTCATCAAGGCTTGTTTTTCTGTTTTTTTGTGTGTAGAGTCCCCCGTAGGACGATTTTTCTGGTGCCACGCTCCCTCTGTCTATAAATTTAATTATGTTGCAAGTCTACAGCTCGGCCTTCTGGTTTTAAATTTTATTTACAGTTTTCAGCACTTGTCTTTATTTACATAGCAACATTTCTCTGGGCCTTCTATATTCATCTTTCTACATATTACAATGAATAAAGGCCTTCGTTTAAAAACCAGCAGGGTGCAGTGACTTTGGGAGGCTGAGGCAGGAGGATCACTCGAGCCCAGGAGTTCAAGGTAGCTGAGAGCTGTGATTGTGCCACTGCACTCCAGCCTGGGGGACAGAGCAAGACCCTGTCTCAATCGATCAATCGATCGATCAATCAACTATTATTTTCTATTTTCTCCCAGAGCTTTTATGTTACATTAAACATTTGATCCATCTCAAGCTTATGTTGGTATAGGATGTAAGGCAGGAACCTAATATTTTTAGAATATACAACATAATTTCTCGACTGAGCCACGATACCTAATTAAAAATGTCACCTTCATGACAAAAAGCAAGAAAAATACTTGTTAAAAATATATGACAGAGATGACATGGTAGATTAATAATTATTCTGGGACAGCTGGTCATTTATATCAAAATGAAATAAAATTACATTATATCATACACAAAACATTCAATGTATTAAAGGACTAAACATTAAAAGAAAAATTTAATACTTTTAGAAAAAACATAATAGAAATTATCTTCATGATTTGGGTCTGAAGGAATCCCATGAACAAGGCACAGCAATAAAGGGAAACTGTAGGCATATTTAACTAAAGTTAAAGAACATATCAACATGCATTTAAAAAATAAAAATAAAAGCCACAGACTGAAAGGTATTTGTCAAACATATAATCTACAGACGCTCAGGATCTAGATACATCAAGATCTTCTGAACATCAGCAGAAAGACAAATAGCATAGGAGAAACCGGGCAAAGTGTGCAATTAGTTAATTCACAGAAGGCCAATAAATAGATGAAAAATTGACCCTGACTGACTAGGATTCAGGGTCCTGCAAAGACAGACCATAATGAGTCACCATTTCTTATCCTTCAGATACAAAAAAAAGTTAAAACTCTGCAGTGTGTGTGTGCAGGTTAGTGGCGCAAAGGGAAGTCTCGACCCTGTGCTGGGCCGTGGATCTGCACAGCTGCCTGGGAACCGCAGGGCAGGGCGTGCGAGTCTCCAGGGACAGCGGGGGGGGGGCAACGTCCGCGGGTGCGCTCGCCAAGACACGTGCCCTGGCCCCAGAAGGTACGTGCACCGGGACCCTGTGAACATCAGCTATTTGGAAAAAGGGTTTTTTTACCTGTGCAGTTAAGGATCACAGGAGGAGCAGATGCCCGAAAGCCGGGCGGGTCCCAAGTCTGATGACGAGTGTGTCCCGACGGGAACAGGAAATAGGCGAGGTCCAGTGGCCATGGGGCAGGCTGGAGGCCCAGAGCTGGGGGCAGGCGGGATCGCCCTGGGACTGCCAGACTTCTGGCCTCCAGGGCTGGCACAGGGTCGATGCCTGTTGTGAGCCAACCATTTGTGGTAACTCGCTGCCCAGGACACTTCTGCATCGAGTGTAAGAATGTCACTGAGGTGGTGTTGTTAATAGGGTGCTTTTCTGTGAACGTTGTAACGCATGCACAGAAATAGATATGTGCTGTTTACAGGGTTATATGTCTGTGTGCATAAAAGCATAATGACACCGGACCTGGTGGTGAGTGGGGCGGGGGTGCCAGGAGGGCAGAATCGGGCAGACATGCCCATTTTCCTTGGGCTGTGTCTTGAGTGGGGGTGGAAATCTTGTCACTCTCTGTAGGCTCTGGTATGAGCGAAATACTACACAAAAATTACAAGCACAAACCGAATATTGTATACGTAAAATATTTAAGACATTAGTAGAAACATGGCCGCAGCTGTAAAATTCACATCACGGATAAATACTCCATAAACCTTATGTCATTTCAAACCTGACTTCTCCACCTTGCACACATATGTGCACACGCAACCCCTCACGAGGCACACACACAGACAACATTCAAAGCCAGATCTGGGGACAGGCTATACCCTGAATACTTGTTTTTTCCATACATTTGCACAACACTGATTATTCTGGAATCTGAATTTCTAGGACCTAATATAAAGTTACTCCTCATTTCTCAACAATCATGTACTTGTTTAAAATCAAACTATCCCATCTTGGTGGTGGCCTGGAGATGCTGGAGTCGGACACCCTTTGCGCTGGCAATGGTGGATGCGAAAGAGAGAGAAACAGGAACCCCCCGGAAGCACGTGGTTCCTGCGTCAAGAAGGAATCTTAAGATGTCCCTTCAAAATGATATCGATTTACTAGCATCTTTTCAAATTTTCCTGCTATTAATGCTTTGATTATACAATTTAGATTCAGAGGGTCTTAGAAAACCTATGAGGAAAATTCCAAGTAAACATTTGGGTCTTTAAAGTGCAATTTATGGAGGTAGATTTTAGTTATGCTTTGAGTAATATCCTAAAGGCAGTGGTCTGTCCATTTGGTATCCCAAGTGATCAAGGAAAAAATATATAGTCCAGGGGCATTTCCAATTTTCCAAAATTTCCAACGAAGTCTTTACACAAACGACAGATGTTGACGACGCCGATTAGTGAGTAGCACTCGCACTCGGGTGGGCCCTGGCGTCCCTCGCCGTGGTCACTGACAAGGAGAAGGGTATCGGGCCGGCGCGACAGCCAGACAGGTGAGAAGGTAACTAGGGAACTGGTGATACTGATCTGTGTTTATAGGTAAATATATTAACCGCCATTTGCATCGTGACTAGATAATGTATCTGTTTTCTGACTCTTCACTGGTATCTCAGCCACACAACCCTGGTTTCCACAGAATGACTGACTGAGCCGCAGGGGAGAGTTTGATGGTGGCGCTGGCCCTGCCGTCCACCCACACGTGCTACCCATGCCACAGTGTGGAGCCCGTGTGTCATTTCTGCATGGAGACAGCTAAGGAGGAGTGTGTTTCCTCCACCCTCTGTCCTTGTCCCTTGCGGGATGAAGAGGACTTTGATGGCAGAACCAGCTCCCTGAGTCATCACATGAAGGAAGCTGCCGTTGTCTGGACACCCACGTGAACCGTCACGCGAGGGAGACGCCGCTCTTGCTGTGTTAAGCGGCTGAGATTTGGGGACTTAGTTATTGCAGCTAACTTTACCCTAATCGTGACATAAACGATTATTTCTGATTTGTCCAAGGCATTTGTTGAAGAAGAAAGGTGGAGAAGTACTTGTAATTTTAATTTTCTAACTTAGGACTAGATTTGACTTGTTTTTATATGCATTTTAATCACTTAGAAGGTAGAAAAATGGGTAAAATACTTATTGAATATGATTATACTGTGTGTTAACATTTTTATCTCTTTCACAGTATTCGCTATAAATAGTACACATTATTCACATGTTATTTAGAAACAAGCAAAGCAGCGGTTTTGCCTTTCCGTTACACGTTACAGGGATAAAAAGATGTGTCGTGTTGCTATGCCGAGCCCCCCATCATAGATACACCTTAAAACAATTTGACATCATGGGATTCAACCTTGCATTTTCCTCTGTGGGACCCGGCCACGCTGCTTCCTCTGGCAGCACCATCGTCCTGTTCACCTGGGGCAGCTGCAGCAGCGCAGGTCCAAACCGGGGGTAGAAACCACACAGCAGGTTACGGAGGGGGAGTGTGATATAAGAATTATTAACCATGATGAAAGATCTAAGGGAACTCTGTATGGCAACTGAAGTTGTGAGTATTCTCGGGAGGGACGAGCTTAGAAGAGAACATCGTTTCCTGTGTCTCTGTTCCCAGTTCTGATCTGTTCGCTGTGTGAAAGAAAATAAAATCTCAGGACCCTCTAAATGTATGACGCCAAGGGAGACTGAGTCACGTAGCATGTTTGCAGTTCTGCTTCTGAGGTTAGAGCTTAACCCTCTTCCTCGTCGTTCTTGTTCTATAATGACCAGGAGAGGCCAGATCCCCCCATCACTGATCTCTGCGCGGATCACCTGCCTCCGCCACTGTCTTGCACCAACCCGGACCAGACAGTGCACAAGACTCTGTATCAGTTCTGTCTTCAGTGTGCAACGTTAAACACATCTTTCCGAAAAGAACAGGACCACCTCGGCTCACCAGACCATTGCAGGTATGCATCAAGCCTGACACAGACGGATGCTGAAATTCTGTTAAACTTCCCTACGCTTTGTCCATATTTAGCAATCCCAAACCTCTATACTCACAGCACTGACTTTTCTGGAATCTGCTTCCTGGTCAGCTGTCCTCAACTTTGCACTGGAATAAACTCTCCTTAAACTAGATTCTGATCATGTTGATTATTCTAGGTTGACCTTTGGGCGACTCAGATGGGACCTGAACTGTGCCTCCAGCTGTCCCATTTTCCCGACAATTGAGGCCTTGGTACAGCATGGACAACTCCCCCTCACCGATCTTGCTGGAGATGGCGGGGTCTCTACCAAGGGTCTTCTTGGTCTCAAATCTGCTGGATTTTGTTTGAGAGTCAGAATTCTTTCAACTAACATTCCTCAGAGCTGGAAGTGAAGCTTTGCTTTTAAAGCAGGAGTTTTGTTTGCTGTTCCCTAGAGATTCTGTTGGCTTCAGATGTGATTTCCACTTTTCTTTGAGGTCAGAGTTTTGTTTGTCTTACTAATTAGAGTTTGAAACCTTTTCTTTCATTTGATTTTTTGGGAAACTGAGTCTCCTCTGTATCAATGAGTAAGGTTTTTACTTTTCAAATCTTTGAATTGTCACTTTGGTTAAGTAAATAAATGACTTAATTTATAGTGACCTGTGATCCTGTTTTGATATCAAGTGTTTGAAACCTTTTATATTTGACATACTTTCCAAAATAATACTTCAAATTCTAAAATTAAGTCTTTTATTCCCGAATTAACTTGCACATAACAAACAGAAACCCCTGGAAGTCCAAGAGCGATACATTAGGGTTACTTACAGGCTTACTGGGTATGTTAGAATAATAAGGGAAGCATTGTCAAATAAGAAATGATGGTTTGCTTTCTTCGATTATTATTTGTATAAATGTGTTATTAATATGTGCTCCAAAATTATATGGTATTCCTAAAATCCCGATGTGTCTTGGTATATGTTTTTAGTAATAATTATGGTCATTATGTTAAATTGCTGTATGCTAAGAAATAACCAAATATCCTTATCCATTGCATCCTTAACCATGGCTCCTCTAAGTCGTTTCTCATCCACAGACAATTATTGTTTTACTTTGATTCTTGTCTAATAAGCAGTTTGCAATTGGCTACCACCCAAAATTTGCCTTTTCTTCAAGGAAATTCACAGAAAGGACTCTGAGAAGTACTCTTGGGTACAGGTTTCTGATAAATTTGTAGGTCATACCATTAGACTAGTAAAAACTTCCAGGACTCTAATTAAAAAGCTGAAATATCCATGTTTGCCAACCCAACATCAAGCAGAACAAGAATTACAAAGGATTGAACTGCGTAGAGGACTAAAATGATTTTTATGACTTTTCTTGTTTGAAGCATTGCGGATTCTTTTTATATTTTGTTTTCCAGAGTCAAGAAAACTTTTTCGAGCTATTTATAGCTTAAATTGGGTAAAACATACTTTTGTGAGCAGAACTGAAACTCTCTACCTAATTTCCCCCAAATTTGGAAACTGTTCATGAGTATTCTTATTTTATGGCAATATAGCTATAGCTACGTGGGTAAGTTCAATGAGAATCTGTTTTCTTTTGTAAGAGGACACAGTTGGCTATTTACCAAGGCTGCAATGGCAGATTTTCAGATATGGACAGACTGCTTCCAGGAATTCAGGCTGACTTTATAGAGCTGATGAAAAATACCCTTGGAAAGACTGGCCTGGTCCCATGTCTACATGGTTCCTTTACAAGGTTTCTGACCTTGCAGTAAGTAAAAAATGTCACTTTCTGGCTGGCCCAGGAACCTGAAGATATTTTGGAAACCTCAGGAAGAGAGAAATTCACCAGCTTCACGCAGGTATTATGGGCATAGTCTGATAGTGAATCATTGGCTTGGCCTCCTAACCTCAGGGCTTTTAAGAGTCTAACCTGAAATGCCTTATAAAAAGTTCCAGCAAAGTCAACTTAAAAGAGCCCGTAAAGCCAGCCATTCACTGTATCAGGTCAAGTATAATACCAAAACTTAGTTTGCAAGTAAATCGGTCCTAATAATCCTGGATTATTTCTTGGCTACAAAAAGTCTCTAAAGAAGGACTGGTTTTTAATTTTCTTCATGATGTTTTTTGTTGACTCCCCAATGGGATAAGTTGTGTTTGTCCTGACACAAAATTCTTTTTAATTATATTCCTTATGTGCATGATATTTCTACTATGTATCTCTCATTGTCTTACTTCTCCAGAGAAAACCAAGCTCATGGTATTCTGAATTGGAGATGATTCAGCGAGTGACAGCAGCTATATAAGTCAGTCACTTGGCTGAGGTCTCACCGTTGCCACCCTGTGATGCCGTCACAGTTTGGCTTCCGGCATTCTTAAAATCCCTCCCTGAGAAGGC